GCATTATAAGCATTATAGATCTTAAAGTTGCAGTGCTTAGAGAAGACTTACGGCAGCATTATGTTAAGTGAAGAGCCGTCGGAGAACACTTAAGTAATCTCTATCATTACTTACTGGACATGCAGCAGGCGCACATACAATAAGGGACAACAAAAATGCAAAATACAATTCCAAGCTTATGAGAAGCTGACATCGAGATGATCATGATGATGAAAATGATGAAAATGTTAAAATCGTATTGTGAGAAAATATATCACGGCAACCGCTAGTGCCAATGCACAGAGACTCGCTCTCCCGTTTCGTTTTTTCTTTTCTCTTATCCTCCTTCGCACAAACCGCGGCCGCGTTGCCGTCCATCGTCGCAGCCTCGGAAGTGCCGTTGCTTATGGGGGAGATTCGTGCAAAGCGCCGCCGCGAGGAATTAAGGGGGCTCATAAAATTCGATGGACTTCCTTCCATTAGAGAAAGCGCGCGCGCGAGAGACCCGCAGAGAAGCGCAAAAGTACAAAAGCTCGCGGCGTCCCTCTGGAAACGGGAGAGGCGTGTGGAGCGATGTAACCCCCGGCTCGTTTCGCCGGGTGCGGCGAAAGGGGGGGGGGGGGACACCTTTGATAATGGCGGCTTTGATGGAGGAGGATATCTTCGCTGAGATATCACGCCGCATTATCGGTTACCCCCAGGCTGCAATGAGTCAACAGCATTTTGATAATTGTACTCGCAGTGCAAATGAGTTTCACAAACAACAGGTTTTCGTAGCCAACGCAATTATTCGTACGGGGTTTGCTTTTGGGGTTAGGCCACGTAGTGGTTTTATGCCAAAATTCCGATCTTGGCACATCTAAATAGAGTGCCACGTGTAAATAATATCTGTGTGAACGTGACAATCGTATCAGGTGGTTGAGGGTTAATGACAATAATTTTTGGCATAAAACTACCGCCACGTGGCCTGACCTAATAACCAAATGTGGATCCCAAATGAGCCATTCGTATTGACTTTCGAAGGATTTGTCTGCTACTAAACATCTGCTCGTGGGACAACTGTACTGATGGTAATGTAAGAAGATTATTTTTTTAGAAACATTCTTAAAATTACATTTCTGTCAGAGCCCCATGGTGCCCAACAGACTCGGTGTGGAACAGTGAAGCGCCAGTCCGCGCACCGCACTCTGAACCTCGTGACCTTTCCAAGTTCGATACCAGGTCAGTGGCAACATTTTCAGTGGGGTGACCTTAACGTGCACGGTCTGGCACAAGCGCCGTGGTGATGTCACTGCTACTTAGTGGCGAATGGCAGTTGTTGTTGCAGTGGGGTGACATCGTCGGCAGACCAGGTCAGTTTAGCAGCACTGTACTGTACTATGCTACCCAAAATTAATGCCGCTTACCATCGCCAACCGGCAGTTTCTCGTGTGGTGAAGTAGGGTCAAACAACTCCCATGAGCAACACGTCCGTGTGGGGAAGCCTTCATCCAAACAATTCATTGACGAAGGGTTGGAGGTTGTTTTATATACTTCACTCGGAATAAACTTGGTCTCGGATAAATGTCAAGATGGCCTGCAATTCACCAGTAAAATTTCAGTAAAAAAATCATCATCATCATCACTTGAGTAGTGTGTAGAAGGACGGCACAAAATCTACCCAGCGTCTGGATATAGATGGCTAAATTCTTGGCCTATGTTCATCCTGTAGTGGATCAGCAAAGGTGCTGTACACCATTAGCATTTGACGAATTGACATTGTATTTCTAGTAAACGAAGTCTTGAAGAAAAAAACAACAACTCCATACCGTACTATTAATTGATTCTGAATCTTCATCATCATCGTCGTCATCACCATCATCATCACTTTCGTGGTTAAAAACCACTGTAGAACAGTAGAAAATGTTCAAATAAACTTGGCACAAAGCAAATGTAAATGTGAAACTAGTGCAAAACCCAAAACAGTTGCTAACAATAACAAAAACGTTGTAAACATTCCTGCCACCGCATAGGGCGTCCTGTTAATCCTGAAACGCGCACACGTACACACACCGACGCACGTACACACACCGACGCACGTACACACACCGACGCACGTAAACACACCGACGCGCGCACGCACACACGCACACATGCACAACGACAGCATCTCTGCACGTGGGCAATGCTGTGATGGTGCCACCTGAAGACGGGAGCTTGTGTTGCCTATGTGACTTTACCGAATAAACCAAAGAGTATGGACCCTTGCAGTCACGAAAACTTCAAATCTAGAAAGAAAAAAAAAGTAGCAAAACGTCTCGCAGCCCTCCTGGCGCAAATCCACTGCTAGATGAGGGCCTCCTCCCCACGCCACGTGTGCCACGGGGGGGGGGGGGGGGGGCTGGGGCGCCGTTTCACCGGATTGCACCGCTGGTGGCCAATGCGGCTCAGTTGACGGCACGCGACATCGACATGAGAAGCATGCCAGTGCAGTATAACGGCGGGCTATGCCCCCGCTGCTCGAAAGCGTGGCGCATCACGACGGCCTGCGGTCGCCCATCCGAGCGCCGTCTGGGCTCAGCCCCGCTTAGCTTTTTGAGATGTGACGAGACGCAGGGGCATTCTGGGTGATTTGCTCAAGGGCGATTTCTCTTCACTGACACAAAATTATAGTCTTCATACAGGGTGATCCATTTATAGATACTGATTGCTCTACCCTTTTTGTGTTTAGTTTGTTGTCCTTCCCCAGCACCTCCGATTAGCGCGGTTGGCTACGTACGGTGCGAAAGAAGTTCAACATACACACACACATCTCCTTTTTACTTTATTCTCACCAGCTGGCAGACTGTTGTACCAACGATGGCTCCATATCTTATAGAGGGGAGTGTAAAAAATATAATCTATGAAATAACATTTGTGGGAGATCTGTAGAGGCTGCTTTAATAATAACACCACGCCACACTCCCTCTCGTACAGAGAAAGCGACTCAGAGTTGCTAGGCCAGCATTGTTCACCGCAAGGCCCGCGGGCCACTTGCGGCCCCTGACGTGCGATCCCCGTCAATACACAAAAGTGAAAACGCCCCCATCACTGTCGTGCTGCTGTCAAACCCAACAATGGTTTCAAATGTGTGGCGGCCCTCACACTGATGGTGTCTTATCGGCGACAGTGGCCGCCCGGATGAAAATTAGCAAAGAGCACAGCGCTAGGAGGAAGGTAGCAGCCACGCAGTGATGAACCACGGCGTCATATCCCTCACCCCACCACCACCAAGCTCTGTGGTCCTCTATATATTAAGCTATTATCGGCCAATTAATAAGTGTTTATTATAGTGGGGTATCTATGAATGGATCACCTCGCGATAACCCAGTGAGTTAAAAAAGAGGGTTAAGCATGGAAAAGACAAAACGACTGAAATTTTTTTTTTTTACAAAGAGTGAATTGTAATACTTCAATTTAAATGGAACACACTTAAAGAGTTATTCATGGTCATCATCAGCAGCCCTTGGTCAATCCACTGCTGGATGAAGGCCTCCCCAAGCCGCTGCCATCCTGCACAGTCCTGCGAGATGTAATAAACACTCAAGCGCTCAGAGTAACGGCTAGACATCATGACATTAGACGCGTCAAAAAATAAAAATTACGATCACGATGGGAAATTAGAATTTCAAGCTCTTGACAGATTTCGAATAAAGCACGCTATTAAACGACGTCCTGTCGTGTAACTGCAAGGATCTCTTGAAACCCGCACCGACCAGCGTGGCAAAGTATGGTCAAACAACGCCCAGTGCCGACACGGGCTGACGAAAGGGGCTGCAATTGTCCTTACGGTACAACCAAGCCTATGGGCAGATCTACTCGAACGAGCCGATCTCTTCAGATCTCGGAAGTTTCTACCGGCGACCACCATGCATCACAAAGGCATCGTGGGTTGTTGCCGTGCGACATTGTGCATAGCGGAGATGGAAAGCAGAAACACAAATTGTTGTACTGTACTTCTAGGCTTCCACGTCTGTGCTCCCTGCCTTCAGTGACCGACCCGCACTGACCGGCCGTGGTGAAGTACGATCAAACAGCCGGGAGGCCCTCCTCACCCAGCAGTGGATTGACAAAAGCGCCGAACAAATACATCGCTGTCTGATGTGTTATTTCGGGTCGTATCTCTCTATCGTGGTTGCTCGGCATAATAGTAAGCTGACGTTTCGTTCCGTTCACGACGATTCAGTTCCTGAAGAAGCTCCCAGCGCTTGGAGCGAAACGTCGGACGTAATCCCGAAGAGCGCACGATTTAAAGCTTTCGTGACTGCAGGGATTCATATTCTTGGTTCTTTCGGTAAAGTCACGTAGAAGGGAAATAATAAAATAATAAAAATAACAAATTAAAAAATTCAGCAAAAAATTTCTTCCTGTAGGTTTCACACCTGATGATGATTGCTTGTGTTGCAATCGAAACGTCGTGAGAATTTTTATTGTTTTATTTTTATTATTTTATGATTTCCCTTCTACGTGACTTTACCGAAAGAACCTAGAATAAGATGTTAACTCCCTCGCCTGGTATACAGGAGGTCGTGGGTTCGATCCCGATCCTGACGCCTGCTGTATATTTGTTTGCATGTTCTCCCCGTGGTTGCGTGGATTTTTCTTCGTCTCCGGTTTTTCCCTCCACATTTAGAAAAGTGCATTTATACATGTCCACGTGATACAGCCACTTCGTTGAGCTATCGTTTGTGGCCAGGTCGATCCTGACAAAGAGCTATATAGCTCAGTGGGCCTTACCTGGTTTCCTGGTGAAATAAAATTCGTCAGTTCTTTCGTCTAGTTTTAATACGCGTCGGAGAAGCAATGCCGCACAACCGCGGAAACCAACTGCACAGTTCGCGAATCGTAGAGCGAACAGCTGAAGCGTGACTCAGTGTCCACGCTTCCGTCGTGTGATACACGTGCAACTCTTAACAGCTGAATACGAGCAAACAAAAAAATGATTCGCGGACAAATCGCATTCTCCGCGGTGCCGCCGCCGCCACTGCTGCTGCTGGAAATACCGGTGTGCGATCGGAGGTGAGTCCGCAGGTGGCTGGGCTGGCTGAACACCTTGCCGCACTGCTTGCACATGAGGTCTCCCTGGCCCCGCACGTGGCTCTTCATGTACCCTGCCGACCGTCCCACGCACGCACGCACACGTGACACCACCAGTGTGAGCCAGACCGGCAGCTGGTCAGGGGACGGGGTGCCTGTGGCACGGGTGGGTCTGGGTTAAAGAGCCTGCCGTGGCTCCGTTCCGGTACGGCCCATGACCAGATTCGGCGTTGTTATTGGGGTAGCACCAGGGGTTGTATATTTGAATGTCCTATTTGGCCCTCAACGAAGGTAAATGTTCCTTCCCGTGATCGGGAGTTAAACCTCAGACGGGCAATGGACTCGTTGCTACCGCGAAGCAGCCGTTTGTCACCGTTGGTGATGCTGAGCCAGTGGTGGAATTTCCACGTTGCCATGGCGGATGCTTGCTCTGCTATGTGAGCGACCACTGCCGTCCTACAGAGTTGGTACACGTTTCATTAACCGCCTTCGGATGATGAGTTGAGCCGATTCCTGATCGGGATTCGAACGTGCCACCTTCCAATTGCGAGTCCTTGCCGCTGTAACCACTTTGCCACCCCAGGGGTGCGGGGGGCGCCCGTGGGGTGTCCAGACACCCGCAAAATAGTTTCGACATGGCTAAGAGACATCCACGATTTCACACAGCGCTCCGGGTGTTTTCAAGTCTCATCAACAAGGTGACACAAATGCCGATTATGCTGATGATGCGGCCTTTAAATAAGCAGCAACGTACAGTTGGCTCAGCAGTCACCGATAGTCGTATAGATTTTATACAATTCACATTCTGGCTGTCGCTTGATTAGACTGATTGTAGTTGCCGGCGAAATGTTACGGTATTCGAATTTTAATTGTTGAGGGTTTGCTCTTTAACACACCGGTGTGCTGAACTAGTAACCAATTGGCATCTTTTGTTAACGTGACAAACCTTACGAATTGGAGTGTCGGGTGGTGGCGGTTTTCACGACACATTTATATTTCTTCCCAACAAAAAAACCTCTCATGGACAATTAACATCATTATCGCGTAGCAAAAAACTCATCTAAGCCGTGATGAAGCGAGAGGAAGGGGGAGGCGGTGGAGAACTCTGGATCCTGTCTGCAACCTTACCAATAACCAGTAGGAACAAATCGCCAGGAGGGCACTGCCAACTCCACAGTGCGTCAATGACCCCCCCCCCCCCTGGTGCCACCTGAACTCCATGATCCGCACCGCCTGAGGTGGCGCAACTTTAGCGGTTGCAATCTCTTTACGTGGCCAATGAGGAAGAATGATGTGAGAACCATTTGAAATCAGCGGAGTTATCAAAGAATGAAATCGTATTCGTGACATATATATTGGTACACCTACACCTTTCTATCTTGGTTGGTGCCGGTTTTGCTCTGGCCTATGGACTACTGGCAGGAGTTTGCTTTGAGGTCAGGTTTAAACATCAGACTTGGACACCAGTGTACTCAAAGACTGGCCACTCACGCTGGAACTGACAAAAGTACAATAACCGACAAGAAGAAAGTTCCAAGACACTTCCCAAACCTAAACTTTTAAACTATAAAAACTGTTTTTATTTTACCAGGTAAGGCCCGCTGAGCTATATGACTCTTTTTCAGAAGCGACCTGGCCACAAATGATAGCTCAGCGAAGTGGCTTATCATGTGGAAATGAAAAGCAGCCAAATACTCTAAGCGCATGTTTATAAATGTGGAGGAAAAACTGGAGAACCGGGAGAAAAATCCACGCAACCATGGGGAGAACATGCAAATGATAAATATACAGGCATCAGGGTTTGGATCGAACCCATAATGTTCTGTATGCCAGGCAAGGTTGTTAATATCTCGTCACCGCGGTGCCTCTAAAGATACGTGTAGGCAAATTAGGGACTGTGGGCGATGATATTCCCTGCAACAATAACAAGAGATTATTGTAAACATGCCATTTCCCCATAATGTAGTTGGCTTTTACAAAGGTATTCAACTTAAATGTGAATAAAAACTGATCTCTGGGGCTTTGATCATGATATTTTGCGGTTTTAAATGCTGTTTGTGACTTCAATACTTGAATGCTATCCGGAGGTGTTTTTTTGTATGAACAAAGTGGTTTAAAATTACTCTCAAATAAATATATGGAGCTTTTCAGGCTTTTAAAGGTTTTAAATAATTAGTTAAAGTTGTTTTAATTCTAAGGAATATTGTTGCCGTATATAAAAAAAAATATTAGTCTGTCTGCATGGCCAAATACAAGACATCACAAAGGAGCATTACAATTTCAAAAATGCAATTAGGTTCTTTTTTTGTCACACGCGCATGGGAAAATATATATTTAAAAAATATGAAACTATATATCAAAATAAACACGGCCATAGGCCTCGGATGAGTTTTCAAGTTGTACCGCGTGTTGGTCGGCACAATGTCTGACGTTTGGCAACCCCAGAAACTGAAGAAACTCCCACATGGAGGGCCGAACGTTGGACATTGTGCGGAACAACACGCGGTACAACCTGAAAGAAGACACACCGGAGAGCCGTACAAGAGCACAACCGCGAAAAACCTACGCGGTCGACGCCATTCGCACCGTTTGCTTCGCTCCTCCAGTTGAGGCCGGCCACGCCGAGCCGCCCGCCGTATAGCGACAGGAGCTGCCCTGCCGAGCCGACCGCCAGCGAGCGAGCGTGCGCCGTCGCTGTCGCCGCCGGTCTGCCCGCGGCGCCGCCGCCACCGCCGCCTCGCTCGTCTCCCGCCCTCCCACATGGCGTGCCGCAGCGGCGCTCCGTCGGCAAGCCGCCGGCTCCGGCGCCGCCGCTGCTGGGGCCCTCGGTGGGCCCGGGCGATCGCGAGCGGTCAGCGGCCGCCCCCGCTCGCCTCAGCTGCTGCCCCTCTGAGATGGATGCCGTGGCCCAAAATGACGGCGCGTCGCGTTCGCCAGACGGGCGGCCGCGGTAGAGCGGGCCGTCCTGTGAGACTGTAGAGAGGCCGGAGGATGAAGACGAAGATGACGACGATGACGATGATGACGACGATGATGTGTCGGTGCTTGAGGCCTCGCCACGTGACGGCCCATCGCCTGGGAGCTTGAGCGACACAGCCTCTGCGTGCGCCTTCTTGGATAGGTCGAGCGGCTCCGTCTGCAGTCCGTTGGGCATCGTCAGCCCGTCGCTGTCAAACGTGCGCTTCCGGCGGAAGGTGCCGAGTCCCTGACCGTTGTGCAGCCCATTGTTGTTGGACACACTCTCGCTCTCCGCAACGCTCGAGCCGGTCGATTCAACAACACCTTTGCCACCGCCACCGCCGGCGCTCGCCGGCGCGCCGTCATACACGTCGCGCTTCGGCGGGTCGGCGTCCGCCCTCACCGACTTGCGGTGCGATTTGCTTCCTTCGTCGTCCGCGCGGTTGCTCGCGTCCGTGGCCTGCGCCGTCGAGCTGTTCGGCGGCGCGTGGCCCGCCGCGCAGGCCTTCCCGTCACCGTACGCCGCCAGCTTGGAGTTGCGCAGCATCTGGTAGAACTTGGTGACCGAGTCCAGCCCATTGCCGACCAGTCCCCGGTACGCCTGCGCCAGGTTGGACAGGATGACGCTTTGGAAAATCTCGGGCGAGCTGAAGATCAGCTTGGTGAGCGCGCCGTGCTCTTCCGAGAGCGGCCGCGATGCGTCGCGCTCCTCCGCTTTCACGTCGCCCTCTCTGCGGATCTCCACGCCAGCGCCACCGCCGCCAGCGCCACCGCCGCCAGCGCCACCGCCGCCAGCGCCACCGCCGCCAGCGCCACCGCCGCCGCTGCCGGCCTGCGCTTGCGCGGCCGCTGGACCCACGCCTTTCGAGTGGCCGCCGCTGACAAAGCCCCGCCCAAGGCTCTGGAGCTTTCCAGGCCGAGGGGCAAAGGAGGGCGGTTTTCCCGAGTTGGGATCCACGGGATTTGAAGCCAGAGGTCGTGGTACCGGGGTGTCGGCCGGTGCAGGCGGCGGTGGTGGAGGCGGGGGCGGTGGTGGCGGTGGTGGCGGTGGCGGTGGGGGCGGCGGTGGCGGTGGCTGCTGTGCAGGTGTTGCGTCATCGTAGTCTGCAACGTCGGGGCTAGCGCCGCACTGGGCCGACGGGTGGTGTCGCTCCAGGTGGTATTTGAGGGACGAGGGCTGGGTCCCGGCGTACACGCAGTGGGGGCACTTGTACGGCTTCTCACCTGTTCCTCGCACACGTCCAAAGCGAGGGCACAAAAGCCACGTCATCACAAGGCAATGGTGCGGCCCTGTAATTGCCGTCTCACGTCTTTGGCAGGCAGCTCTGGAGAGCCCCTCTGGAGAGGTTTTTACCCTTGCACGCTGACCACACCTGCCAATTAACAGACTGCGGTGGACCTGTTGATAATGCTGGCTGGACAGGTGGGGGTGGGGGGGGTTTATAAAAAGCTTTATCATTGTTTCAACTGGAATATTCTGAGATCAAATCGAGCCAGTGACCAGTGTTGTACCATAATATGGGACATTTTTTCCAAGTGAACAAAATGACGAAAACATAACAATAGGTTTTACCCTTTCTGGCAATTTAACAGGTGTTAAGATGTTCAAATAAGTGTTAATACGTACGTGTGTATGTTGAACTAATTTCACACGTAGCCGACCGTGCTCATCGCAGACGTTTGCCTTGTTTTACAAGGGTAAGTCGCTAACAGCAACACAACTACAAACTGAATTCATATTGCAACATCCATGACTGCCTGGTACAGACTGGAGGTACGGACCGAGCTAACGCATCAACGCTCTCAACCTCAAGTCGTACAGAGTGAGAAAACATGATGTGCATTGTACTACTGCTGTTGAGTCGATGTCCCCATGGGAGTTTCGTAACGTTTATTGAATTTATCTACGCTTTGCTTCATACGAGCAAGTAAGTACTGCTGTAACGCGTAAAGCATTGATCTTTAAAACCTTCCTGGGTGACGCTTCTGCTGGGGGATAATTGCGTCAAGGCCTTGTGTTCGGAGGTATTGCTAAGGGACGCTTTTGACCAAACCACCTGGAATGCACCCAATCTCATTAGATTGTGGAAGCTAAGCAGAGATGAGCCTGGATAGTGCTTGGAGGGGCGATCACAATACAAACAGGGTCGCCCAAAAGTCAGGACACACAGGGTTATTATGTTAATTTTAACAAATCATGAAGGGTTATTTAATTTATTTTACCAAATGTTCGATTAACATTGATGCATGATGCACAAATTATCTTTTGAAGTTAATTGAGGATTTTTTTTTTATATTACAAAGCGTCATGTTTTAACATTCATCTTTTGTTGTCTCAAATAATTTGGGGTTCTTAGTCGAGTTTTGTCAATGACCGATTTGAGGTGACCCCACAGGAAGAAGAATGACAGATATAAAAAATGTTTTTTTTCTTATACTAACTCGGGATATAAAATTGTATTTTTAAGTAAATAAAATATCCCTGTGTGTCCTGACATTTGGGCCACCCTGTCGGCCAGGAGTGGCAAGCGCCTGCAGGGCAATTCGTGGGCAGAAGAGGGCAATGCTGTAAAATCGATTGTTGTACTGTACCATGCTCATACGGCTATCTCCACAATTACCGGTGTGGAGAAGTACGGTCGAAACACCACCACGACGGTCACGCTGTGGGGGGAGGCCCTCATCCGGCAGACAAAGGGCTGTATGTTTACACGGAAAAGTTCATTTCTTTCCCCTTTTGACGAGTTTGGGGGTCGCAAATTCGTTGCGCCTGCAAGATGTACGTAACGGTTTAATCCTACAGAATGTGCACGGTCGATAGTACCAATGGATCATTTATTGGTTACATTTTTGTTATATATATATAACAGAAGGTTGTATGTGTGTCAGCATCACAGTCTAAATCTGCTACAGTTGAAAATCGCTCGCAAAATATTTGACTGGGTGAAGCCTAAATAGCAACATCTTCCTGCTCCCAACCCCTCCTCCTACTGGTAGCCAATACCTATCTGTAAAACAGTGCTTCGTGATAGCCTTGTGCTGTAACAACGGCGTGGACGCCAAATGTACACGTGTCATTTTTACTCTTATTACAATAATGTCCATGCACCCTTCCACCGCCCTCCTCCCGCCTGCTCTGATGAGTCCGGTGTGCCTGATACCGTCGATGCCCCAGGCACTATCGGCCCGATGGTCAGGATGTTGCAATGTACGATGTGAGGGATAGGATGTGGAATAAAAACACGTCTCGAAAAATAAATATTTATCGGCGAGAAAAACCCGAAGAAAACGAGAAATCTTTAAGCTCCGCGCAGTTTGGTCTGCAACCTACTTGCTGCCCTGCCTCATGCACGCCACGTCCAACTCGTTGTCCGGAGGGACACCGCTGCTCCACGCCCTTACCTGTGTGCACCCTCAGGTGGACTTTGAGGTGGTTGGACGTGCGGAAAGTTTTTCCACAAAACGGACAGTCCTTTGGCGTTGACCCGCGACCTCTGCCCCTTGAACCGTGGCCTTCCACTTTAGAGGCTGCCGTACCTGCAGGGCATAAGAAATGCTAATTTTTAATTGGCCGAGAATTAGACAATTAGGCGAGCGGTTTTGAAATTGCCAAAAATTATACATCTATCAAATATCCCTCCAGGCGTTCAACTCTCAGTTTTAGTTGTGGTGGTTTCATGTTTGGTTGTCCAGCTGCCAAGATGCATTGAGAATTTTTCTTTTAACAAATGAAAAAAAAACCGGGGCTAATGCTTTTGGGACGTCTCATGTAAACATCTAATTTTAAACAGATTTGTTTTAAGTGTTTCGTGCTGTTACTAAAGACAGACCTTTCAGTGAACTTTGGAGAAAGAAAAAACACAACCAAGAACTTATTTCTGAGATCACAAGATTGCAACAAAGACAAAAATAAAATACTACACTGATATGTTTTTTGTAATATATATATATTTTAAACAGAAATGTATTTCAATTAATTGTTCTCCGTTAGCGCAAACAAACATGTTTGTTGACACTTAGTATGGTTTAATATGTTATTTTCAAAAGTGAAGGATGAACTCATTAACGTGTAAATGTTAAAACGCATGAAAAATAAATTGAGGCATATTACTTGCCATTCAGAGCCAGTCTTTTATCCCACATTTTTAAGTGGGAACATTTAACAAAAGAAGTCTGAAGCTATTTTAAACTCATTTGTATTTAAATACGGTTTTGCACTCATTTGCAAATTATCATTAGTCATCGCACTCCGAATCATTTAATGCTCTTAACACGTGTGGAAATAGCAGGCTTTATGTCGCAAAAGAAAAAAAGTTCCCGCAGCATCAATGTTGGCAATTACTCTTAAAAATTTTTTTTTTTTATCTCCCGAAAATTGAGCATCCAAAATTATTCACGAGCCATTCTCGGGCAATATGGTCCCTCCTTGATTTCGAGCAGCTCCCCTCGCCCTTCATCACGTGGTCGGAGCTCTCGGCGCGCTCTGCAGCAGGGTGAGCTCTGTCTTCAAACATTAGCGGAGCGTTGTTTTAAAATATATATATAGCCGCGACGTTATTCCTTTCGGATCTCTAAACATTACCGCAAATCTGGTCACATCCACACACATACACACAGACAACTCCGGTCATATCCACACACAAAGACAAAGATCCCCCGTATAGCCTGTAACAGACTGTTGGGGCAAGTGCTGTTAGCGGGCACATATGAAGGCCGGCACGGCACACGAGGGGGTGGGTGGGCAACACCCCGCCCGGCCGCCTTTGTCTCCCTCCTGGCGATGCTTACACATCGCAGCAGTTACTCATTTGAGGCAAAGTCAACCTTGGAGAGGCCCAGGACCGGTTGAGATAATCGTTCCTGGTGTTGGCCGTGAGCGAGAATCGAACCCGGGTAGCCAGGTTCGTTCGCAGCAGCACGCGAACCGCTACACCGCCGCTCCCCACTCTGAAGACAAAGGTCACATCCATATACACAGACAAAGGTCACATCCATACACACAGACACGTACACACAACCCCGGTCACTTCCGCACACACAACCCCACACACACAAATTGTCAGAGTGAGCATTCCTTGACAATCGCAGGGAACGGCGGTGGGCGTTGGATTCAGAGATAACAAGGCCACAAGCACGACAAAATTGTCGTACTTTCGTCTTTTTCAAACATTAGGTTGTTTTTTTATCGTTCTGTAATTCCTCCCATAGATCCGTTTGTGTGTTAGTTGCGTTCGCCAAAATTCGCTAGCGAACACCCGGCAGAGCGGTGGCGCAGCGGTCAGCGACCAAGGTTAGATCCCCGGCCACGACTAGCAGCGGTGTCAAGTGATATTAGAACCATCCCATGACGTGGCTCTTGACTCTATGTCGGCAGGAAACAGGTATGAAGCAGAGGTCGCAACCGGTTACCCGATACCCGTACCCTACCCGATACCCGGCTACCTGTACCCGGCCGGGTACGGGTACGGGTAGCCGTTTGCGACCCTGGTGCGGCCAAGTACGGGTACGGGTAGGCCGTGAGTCACTGGTGAGTCACCGTTTGTCACTCATTTCGAGTAGGGTACGGGTAGAGTACGGGTAGCCGTACCCGGTCGGGTACGGGTACGGGTACCCATTTGTGACCCTGGTGCTGCCGGGTACGGGTACGGGTAAGGAATCAAAACCCGTTTGCGACCTCTGGCATGAAGGTAGGCAAGCGGAGAGATAAGAAGTACGTGATGCAGGAAGACGGCGAAATCAAGGGCCGGCAGAGAGGTTGCCCGTCACTCCAGGCCGTGCAGCTACAGTGGCAGCAGCTCTTTATCAGCTCGGTGTTGTGCACGCAGCAGCAGCAACAACAGCAACAACAACAACAACAACAAAAAGACCGATTTTGCACCAAATGCGTTTCCGTAAACCATATTAAGCTCTCCGGGGCATTAATCTCAAGATGAACCGGACTGAGCTGGGGGATACTGCGGCACCCCATTTGTCACGTGGCGTGATTTGCGGACAAAGTTTATTACATTTTGTGTTGACGGATGGGTTTTTCACTTGGTGATTGTAGCCGGAATCTTGCACATTACTGTAATTCTGAATTATGCATTGGGGGGGGGGGGGGGGAGGTGCTCAACATTTTTCACACCTTGACGATTTAGTTCAACAATTTCTCACGAGTGGACACTCGTGTTAGTGACTCGCATTCCTGAGCGTGCTGATTAATGGAAGGGCTTCTTCAAGCAGGAATTAAAAATGCGTTTTTTTGCTGCTGCTGCGTTTGTGTGCGCGTTGTTTTTCTTGTTGTTGCTGCATTAAAAGCACCGGGGATTACGCTGAAGAGAGAGAGAGAGAGAAGGCGGGTGGGTGGCAGCCTGGATTCAGAGCGTGCCGACAGATTGAACGTGAATAGCAATAACCGAGAGACCTTAATTCAATTACGTGTACCAGCCACACCTGACGTACATGCACTTTGGAACGCCCGAGATAGAACCATATGGCTAATCGGGATAAAGCCGAAGTTAATCTCTCCGCGTGCTCACCCTGTGCCCAAAAGCGCGTGCGCGCAAGGACGTTTGCAGACATACGTGAAAACAAAAATACAAAGGGACTAAGGGAGCAGCAATCCATTCAGCCGCTATTGACCGTAAGGGGGCAAAGTTCTGGTATGCGAGCGGCGAGTAATGCGAGTGAGAAGGTGGTGGTGATGGTGGTTGTTTCCAGCATCCCACGCCCCCCCCTGCCACCTTTGTCTCCCGAGTGCTGATGTCTGTACAGCGTGAACCGATCACGTGTTCATCGAAGGCCAAGTTGGCCCACACGGTGGCTGTGAGGACAGCAGTGTGCCGCAAACGCCGTCGTTGCTGCTCGTGTGTTCTCAAGCACGCACGCACGCTCCGCACCTTCCTTGAGCGGCCCGCACTGAGCAGCGTGGCGATACGTGGACAAATCGCCCACCCCCCCCCCAAGGGCTCTTACGTAACGCATGCAAACCCAGAGTAGACCCAGGACAGACTCGGATAGCACTTCCGCTGATTTGATCGACAGCTGGAGGATCGAACCCAGGTGGCCAGAGCTCGCACGCGCCACCGCACCAGCCGCTCAGTGGCGCTGACGTCACCATGGCCCCCAACATGAATAATAATCGTAATCATAATCATGATGACTGATATATACGTAGGGAATGACTGGGGAGAGAGAGGCTGGAGAGAGAGAGAGAGAGATAAAGAAAAACGCAAGAGAGAGAGAGACAGAGAAATGGCCTTTTTTTCAGCTGGGACTTAAAAGTCTCCATTGACTCTGAAATGCTGACCTCCTAGGACGTGACATTGCATAGGCTGGGTGCCATGTGGACACATGGGATGGTGAAGCCTTGCCAGAAGCAATTTGTTGGGCAAAACGCCATTATAGATATCGCCGTCACCGTCATCGTCACCATCATCGTCATCCCTGATTTATCTTCTGTTGGACGAAGGCCTGCCCGAAAAAAACTGCCACCGCCACTCGCTAGCCCGCAATGTAACCATCCGCCCAAATGCCCGCACACGAACTGATTTCGTCGCTCCATCTCCCACGGTCGAGAAGCGTTCCGCTCGTTGGCTGCCGCTATACAAATCGCTACCCTTGACCGTCGACGATCATCCCCTTCTAGCTTATGGGCGTGCGCCCTGCGCACGCCCTCTGCTGAAATGCTTCACAGCAATTCTTTATTCATGCCATGAGCTCAGACAACTGGGAACGAAAAAACTAAATAACAAAAATAAAAATGAACTGCGTTGGCAGCCTGCGTCTGCGTGGTACTCCGCCCTGATGCATTGTATACACGTGCACGTCTCACAATTTAAAGAGGATTATGTGCTCAATAAATAATGCATTATTATTAAGTATAACAAAAAAACATTCACGTGAAAATTGGAGGCCTTTTAAACGTATGCATGTTTTTTTTATAAGGTCACAAGTCTAGATTCAACAAATGAGGATTGTTTTAAAAACACTCGGTTGGCGAGCGTATATTTATTAAAAGGTTACACGTAAAATATATTCAAAATGTGCAATTTTTCCGAGAAAGACCTCGTAACAAATGCCACGTTCCACAGACACCCAATTGGGTATATTGGTGGTGGGATATGCCGTTATTCGGGGGGTGGGGGGGGGGGAAGATTCCTGGAGCGCACCATTTATTTTCAGTGATCTTCTTTGGGACCACCGTGGTTTGTTGGCATGGCGCTAGGGTTTGCACGCCGCACTCGCAATACAAGAGATTCGCCAATTCGAGTCAGTTCCCTGACTCGAAAACAACGGTGCAAGTGGTGAGGATAACTGTGGGTGCTCCCCGCCTATATGCCAAGACGTCTGGCCCAGCATGGGAAAGAAGGCCACGCACCCCCTTTGGCGAGGTCACTAGAGGGAGGTCCTTCTGACGGCAGTGGTGTAAGCAAGGAATTGCGTGGCTGCACCTTTACCTTCGTGTTATTCGCCATCACGATTATTCATTTTAAATTCCCTTTTGTCCCCGAGGGACGCACTGGCGACCTCTGAATGGCCAGTCGAGTGTTGCCAACCATTATTCCTCACAAACAAACTGTATCTTCTTGGTTCTTTCGGTAAAGTCACATAGAAGGGAAATAATAAAATAATAAAAATAAAACATAATAAATAATTCTCACGACGTTTCGGCCACAACGCAAGCAGCCGTCCTCAGGTGAAGAACAGGTCTGTCGGAAAGACAGCGTCTGAATGAACACCACCCTGTCTTTCCGACAGACCTGTTCTTCACCTGAGGACGGCTGCTTGCGTTGTGGCCGAAACGTCGTGAGAATTATTTTATTATGTTTATTTTTATTATTTTATTATTTCCCTTCTACGTGACTTTACCGAAAAAACCAAGAAGACGAATCCCTGCAGTCACGAAAGCTTTAAATCGAAACAAACTGTAGATGTGATGATCTAACAAAATTGGCATTCAGCGCACGATACAGTAAATTTAAACTGCATTTGACACGGAAACTCGCACAAATCTGCGCCCATGACTGCCAAGGGAAGTTACTCAATTAATTGCCTAACCTGCATCCCGGGCACATAGGTTATGTGAGCACAGTAAAGAATCTGCTGCTGACCTACTCGGCTCTCAACGGGTTAACTCCGCAAAATTTGCAGGAACTGATCCACATTCACTCTCCAACGAGGTCCCTGAGATCATCGATTTGCCTTCTTCTGAGGACTCCCAAGGTCAAGGCTCTGTTCCTGGGGTGATCGGGATGTGGAACAACGCTTTGTGCCTTTGCTAATACCTATTGAAGTCTGTCTTGAGAACTCACTTCTTTAAACTGGCCTTTACCCCACAGTTCTGGCCGTTTACCCAGGAGGTTCTGTTTATTTCCTGCTTTCCATACACGGTACGCATTGAGATCTATAGAAATGCGCCACTTAAAAAATGTAAATTATTCATCCAGTTCACGTCTTATGTTTTTCTTTTCTTAATTTTTTATGTGCGTTTCTGGGTTATATCCCTGCCACCCCTCCTCACCCCCTCTCCCTTATAAAAAAAAAAAACACTATGCTTACACCTTTCGGCGGGGACCCGTCTGATTTGGGGGCAGCGGTGTGTACGTGCGTCACAACGTGATGTAGAAACTCGCACCGTTGTTTCAACTGCCGAACCGGCGACCTTTTTGTCTTGCAGGTCACCACTGCACCACTGTGGCAGCATCCCCTCTGGGTGAAATGAGAGTTACGAAAGCTGAACAAGACCGATGAAGACCTCCCTTTCCAGGGTAACATGCTCTCCACTAACGGAGGTTATTTTTGGGTAAGGTCGCATAAATATATAAATGTCCTTAAACCCGCCAACACCCGACACAGCCAATTAGTAAGGTTCATTCCTAATTGTCTGCGTCGTGTGGTGGCGGGTTTAACGACACATTTATATTGACGCGATCTAACCCAAAAAACCTCTATTATGGATGATATTGGTCGCGAAAACCTACTGCTTGTTAAAGTGCCCTCCGCTTTAGTATTTGTTGCCATTGAAAAAAGATCGTTTTAGCTCATTGAGCCTCATCCGAAATAAACCGACCGACCGACCGACCGACCGACTGACCGAGCGATTCACCCGTGGCGGTGTAGGCACGGCAGGGGCTGCTGCGCTCCTCTTTCTCCGACTGATCCGGCTCCATCTCCGCGGCCGCGACAACGCCGCTCGACTCCGGGGTGCTGGCTCGGCTCGCTGAATCCGGGCGACTCCCGTCGGAGCCCGGGTTGGTCCCCGGCGTCTCCTCGCCTCCGCGCTCCGGGCTCTCGTCGCTCGACGACCTCGCGTCACCGTCCGCGATGGCGCCGCCCTCTCTCCGGTTCGGCGGTATTTCGTTCCCGCTCTCGAGATCCGCGGTCACCGCGTCGCGATCCGAGCATCCCGCCGATTCTCCTCCCAGGATATTTGGATCCCGGAGGGCGGCTCCCGATTGTGAGGCTGCCTTCTCGTCTGAAGCTGCGTCAAAACCCTGACTTGGCGGCGAGGTTTCCTCCTCCTCCTGCTCTTCCTCTTCTTCTTCTTCCTCCTCCTCCTCCGCTGGCTCCTCCTCCTCCTCATCCGCCGTGTTTTTGTTGTCCTCCGATGCGGAGATGGCCTTGCAGACGGCGTTATCGCACGAGCTAATGCGAAGCTTCTCAATCAAGCTGTTGAGCTGCAGCTCCAAACTCTCGCCTCTTTGCTCACTCTCAGAGCTCTCCAGACCTCCGGCTGCTTTCACCTCATCGCAAAACGGCAGCACGGCGACTTCCTCGTCGGCACCCGCCTCCTCACCCGCGTCCACGGACGGCGGCTCCTCTACTGGTTCCAAACGCGGCGACGACGATGGCGGCTGCGGCGGCTCGTCCACTTTTCCCGCACCGCGCTCGTCGCCCCGGCTGTCCGTCACGACGTCCTGGCACCGCGGGCGTTTCGAGTTCAGCTCTTTGGCCCTCAGAATGTCGGGCTTGCGCTTGGCCCTCGTGGCCAGGACGATCTTGGCTCGCGCGCCGGCGAGCGCCGGGACGTTGCGCTCAACCGCCGGCTCCGCTCCGTCGCCCGAGTCCTCGTCGTCCGCGCCCTCCTCCTCGCAGGTCGCCGCGGCGCACGCCGGCTCCATTATGGCGCCCGTCGTCATCAGCTGCCACGCCTGGAAGCTGTTCATGGGGTTCAGCTCGGGGATGGGTCCCATGTTGGGGCCTCGCCCGGGCGCCACGGGAGGCAGCAGGCCGAACGTCTGCAGGAAACCGGCCTTGGAGGCCCCCGCCGCGGCTCCGTGCCGCCCCGACTCCGTGGCCTCCTCCTCCTCGTCCGCGGTGGCGGCTCTGTCCCGCGGGGCGGCGTGGTGGCACCAGCTGTGCGCCAGCAGGCTGCTCCTGTTGGCGAAGAGCGAGCCGCAGGCGTGGCACGCCGCGTAGGCGCTGGCCGACACGGACGGCATGGCCTGCGCGACGCCGTTCACCGTGGCGGTGCGAGGGTCGCCGTCGGCAGGCTTCCTCCCCGCGCCGCCACCGCCGCCGCCGCCGCCAGCGCCGCCTCCGTGCACGCGCATGTGGTTCTTGAGGAACCACGGCTCCTTAAAGCGGCGTCCGCACACCTCGCAGGCGTGCTCAAACGAGTCCTTGTGCTTGCGCATGTGGCTCTTGAGGAACCAGGCCTGGGCGAAGCGCTGGCCACAAATTCCGCAGCACGTCTGCTCATCGGCGGCACCCGCCGGGGCTCCCCGCGTCTCGGCGCTTTTCTCCGCGGCCGTGGTGCCGGTGCCGGTGGCGGCGGCGGCGGTGGCAGCGGCCGCGACGACGCCGTTGTGTCCCTCAAGGTGCCGCAGCAAGTCCGTCTCCCGCGCTGCGGCGAAATCGCACTGCGAGCATTTGTACGGGAGGTGCAGGATGCGCTGGTGCCTCTCCAGCTCCTCCTGCGTGCGGAACTTGCCGCGGCAGAACGGGCACTTGAACGCTGCCACCACCGCCGCAACCACCGTCGTCGCCACCGCCACTACTTTCCCCGTGCCGTGTTCCCTCTCCACGGCCATCGCGTTCATGCCAAGCTCTCGGCCGAGCCCGTAGCCAACGCCGCCGCCGGCAGCGTCCTTGGCGGCGGCGCCCACCAGCCTGGCGCGACCGGGCGGTGCGGCGACAGCGGGCGGCGCCTGCGGCGACACCAACGCGCCGCCGACGGCGCCGCCGCCGCAAACCCCGGCGGGCGCCGCGGCCGCCCTCTTGAGCTGCCGCTCGCGGAGGATGGCGCGCTCACGGAGCTCGTTCAGCAGCCGCTCCGCCTCTTTGCTCCGGACGGCGGCGCCGTCGCACGCCGGAGACCCGGAGAGGGGGACGACCTCCGAAGCGGGTCCACCGTCGCCGCAGCCGCCGTGACCGCCGTTGCTACCGCCGTTGTTCCCGCCATTGTTACCGCCGGCCCGATGGGTGCGCAGGTGGATCTTGAGGTTGCCCTTCTGCGCGGCGCGGTGGTCGCAGAAGGGGCACTGGTAGGGCTTTTCGCCCGTGTGCGTGCGCATGTGCAGCGACAGGATGCTGTTGAAGCGGAAGCGCTTGCCGCAGATGCCGCACGGGTACTTGAGCAGCTTGCGCGGGGCGGAGTGTGGCTGCCCGCTGTCGCCCGGCAAGATGATGCCACCGATGCCGAGGCCAATGCCACAGGCACCGCCGCCACCGCCCCCGATCGCCGAGGATCTCAGCGCTTTCAAGTTCTCGTCGGAGCCGCCCTCCATCGGCTGCTGCGGCTCGCAAAATGCACGGCTGCTGCTGTTGCTGGAGGTGCTCCTGCCAGTGCTGATGCTTCCCTGCAGGTCCCTGAGGTGAGAGTGCGGAGTTGAGAGCACGGGCTGTAAGGATGCACCTGGCATACTTTTGCCCAGATGCTGTGGTTAGCCAGTGCACATGCCTAAAAGGACGAGAGAGAGAGAGGAGAAGGGATGTTTGAGACAAGAGTTATCATTCGCACTGCACACACAGAACATGGAACTTATGGTAATAGATCGACAGAACCGCGTCCAAGTCCAAGCCAATTTAGAACCGTTTTGATCCAAAAAAGGTATTTTGCAGTGGAAAAAATGTAACCGGTGGGGAAAATCAGTTGACGGCAATGGGTTAAAATAAGAAGTGGTGAAGATGCTTTAAGCATTCTTGTAATTTATCTCAAATTACTTTTACCCCTCCAAGATGTGATGATACACATGATAATCCAGTCGATTCACTTCACGCTTTGTCTCGTGCTGAAAATTAAATAACGTCCTCTGTCGCGCTAAAAATAACGCAAATCAATATGTACCACATACTGTACCCAATAAGCCGCAAGCTGAATAAACACACTCCCAAGATGACAGCTCACTCATTACAGCATCAGGGCCCCTAATCACAGAGGAATGAGTTCACACCCTGGTTCGAAGCAACTGAGCCCATCATCGTTATAATTTGTCATAGGTGGACAGATTAAGGCCACCGTCACTCACCGCTTGCCCTATATGGAGAGGCCGGTCTTTGCCACAATAACCTGGAATTCCCACCACTGCTTCTGGATCGCGAAGAAACGCGCTACACTCTGATCTGTGTTGCACCCTTCGGTCGTGGGGGTCTGTCACTGGCCACTTGCTGTTTCGACCCTCTGGGTCTGCACTCTGCGGCCGCGATGTAAAATAAACACACTGTGCTTTGTGCATGCACATGTACACACACGCTTGATGGGCAGCAGGCACGCGTGCACAATTATCCTGAACATCTTTCGCGCATGCAAAAGGGCCAAGATTCCCCCGTACAGCCTCAACAGACTGTTGGGGCAAGTGCTGTTAGAGAGCACCTATGAATTCTGGCACAGCACACGGGGGGGGGCGGAGGGTGGGTTGCCAACAACGCTGATGTTTACACACCGCGTCCGCTACTTATTTAAGGCTGAGTTGACCCTGGGAAGAACCGGGACCGCTTCATACATTCACCACTGTTATTGGCCGTGAGCGGGAATCGAATGCGGGGTCGCTGGGTCCGTGGCGCGGCGCGCTAGCCGCTTATGCCACCGCCTGAGCCACACACACACGCACACACAAGCACACGCGCACGTGCGTTGACCAAAAAAAAATCATTCCGCCCGGGCCAAACGGTAGCGGTCGCCGCGATTTCACTAGTTTGCGCCACTTTTGGGAAAAAAACACCGCGACATTTCTTGCCCCGTTCAGCGTCGGAAAGCGCTCAGAAGAAAAAAACTGCGCTGGCAGTGGGAGACGCGGCTGTCAGTGCGCGCAATCGTATTAAAATGGCCGGCATGTGCAATAAGTCAATTAATGCAACTCAAGCGAGAGGGTTGGGAGCGGTGACGCAGGCGTGGGGTAAGTAAGCACACTGCGCTGCGAACGACTGCAGGCAGCCCGAGTAGAATTCCCCGCCGTCTGTGAGTGTGCGGCTGGTAATTCGCCCGGTTCCCCACCAGTGTGTAGAAGTATGGTCACACAGCCACTATGACACGACTGGCGCCGCTCGTGGAGGGCTGCATCTGGCGGTGGGTTGAGAAAAGCCGTGAAAAATTTGGTCAAAAACTTAAATAGGGACTGGACCTAGGGCTACCTATACAAGGCACTCATGACCTCACCGAATTGTCTCTGTGACTGGCCACAGCTAATGTCAGTGGCGAGTGATATTGGGACTGGTCCTCGCGTGGGGTGGGAGACCTCCATCCAGCAGTGGATTTAATGGACTGAACATTTCAACCGCTCTGGTTTTGTCGCGGTTGTGCTGTACTTTATGGCTCTCCGATGCGTTTTGCGGTTCGACTGCGTAGTTTGTTCGCCACGACGTACGACGTTTCGCTTCACGGAGCTACGAGTGTTCAAATTAATAAGGCAGACGGCAATGTTTACATCGAGGACAAGATCATGCTACATTGGTCAGGGAATATTGCACGTAGGGTAATAAGATCACATTAAGTGCAGGTCGAGAATTTGAAAAACAAGGGACCTTCTGTTCACGCAGATGAACAACGCAATCTGGTTTTTTTTTCGCGTGCAGACAACTATTGCACATTGTGTTCGTAGCAGCCCGGCGTGGTACAGGAGATCCCAATTCATTTAAAGTTTTTGTTGTTGTCAGTCCCCTGTGGATGAAGGCCTCCCTGCTCCAAGTCGGTCAAGGGTCAAAGGGGTTGTTTGACCAGTACTTCACCAAGCTGATCAGTGCCAGTCCGTGAATTGGTGGTGGATGTGGGGGCGATGGTGGGGGGAGGGTTGATAAACGTCCACTTTATTGCAACTGCCTCGCCTGGAGATTGAAACGAACCGGTGACCTCTGCATCACAAGCACAATTATTAATTTTATATATAATAATACAATTATTTTATTTTATAAAGTAATACAATTATTTACTTTATTATAATATAATTATTACATTTTATAAAATAATACAATTATTTTATGTTTTATTTTTATTACTTTATTATTTCCCTTCTACGTGACTTTACCGAAAGAACCAAGAAGATGAATCCCTGCAGTCACGAAAGCTTTAAATCGAAATTGTGTGAATACCAAGAGTCGTAAATTATTATTAATATTACGCGTGTTTATCCGGGAAGGCCTCACTAGGCCTCGTGACATTTTCAAGAAGGTCCTGCCACGTAAACAAACAAACAAAAACACGTTGTACTTTGCGTTGTTGCAGACAGGGCTGATGATTGTGATGTCTATTTGAATCGAGTCATCTGCCGTGTAATTTTCCAAATTTTCTAAATGTGACCAATTTGGACCATGACGCCGATACCAAACAGCCTACTCTTGCGAATGACATCACAGGATCTTTAAACTAAAACTAAACTATTTTTCTTTTACCAGGTAAGGCCCACTGACCTATTTTTAGAAGCTACCTGGGCACAATTGATAGCTCAACGAAGTGGCTTATCACGTGGACATTTATAGTCGCCAAATACTCTAAACACATGTTGATTCTAAACGTCGAGGTAAAAACCACAGGACCCGGAGAAAAATCCACACGAGCATGGGGATAACGTGCAGACTCCAACTATACAACAGGCGTCAGGGTCAGGATCGAACCCACAACCTCCTACATACCAGGCGAGGGAGTTAACATCTCACCACCGAATTGGCGTTGCGCCGCGCGTTCTTCGGGATGATGTCCGAGGTTTCGCTGTTATAATGAGGGCGGCCGCTGGGTTCGAACCGCGAACCTCTGCAACGAGCGATGGTGTGCGCCAGAGGTCGCAAACGGGTTTTGATTCCTTACCCGTGCCCGTACCTGGCCGGGTACGGGTACCCGTTCCCTACCCGTACCCGTACCCTACCCGAAATGAGTGACAAACGGTTACTCACCAGTGACTCACGGCCTACCCGTACCCGGCCGCACCAGGGTTGCAAACGGCTACCCGTACCCGTACCCAGCCGGGTACGAGTAGCCGGGTATCGAGTAGGGTACGGATATCGGGTACCCGGTTGCGACCTCTGGTGTGCGCCACCGCTGGGTCCGTGTCATCGCCGACAATTAAACGGCAAGGACGCAGAGAGTTCTCGGCAACACTAAACCCCTCCTCTGTCGAGTCCCTAGTGATCTCTGTACATAGTTCCGAATCCTGCCAAGAGCAGTGCCGCCAACAAAAGGGGCATTCTGTAAATGATATGTGGCATTCATGTTTGGAATGCCGGCCAATTTTTTTCTTCATGTGTAAACAACGTGATAAGACTGGTAATATAACCAGCGTTTAAACAAAAAAAAATATTCTATGTTGCAGATTTCACATTTCGCCACTTCCATGGTGCAATTTTTTTATGGATGTTGCTACTACCGTGGTGATGCAATGGTCAGAACCCTGCACTTGCAATCGAAAGCCACACTGGACTTGCAATCCAGAGGCATCCCCCCACGCCTGGATGAAGTCATCCCCACGGTTGTTGGCCATTGGGACTGTTTGACCCATACTTCACCACACTGGTCAGGGGGAGGGGGGCCTAGGGATCGGTTCACATATCACTCGCCACCGATGGCCGGGAAACAAACTCCGATTGCCGGCGTCACAGCGCAGTCCGCTGACCGCTGCCGCCACCCCATCGATGTTGTATTCACGACAATGAGCGTTTACGGGAGAATGAATGGAATTAGCTTTGAGGATGCATCTGTTTCTCTCTGGTAGGACGACAAATTTAATTCGTGGCAGCCCAGCCGACCGGTGGCATCGGAGTGGCGGAGCAGCGAGTGATTGCCCGGCTTTTGCAGACTTATCCCCGCGCTCTCCACAGACATTTCACTCAAGGACAACGCGTCCATTGGCCGTTCAACAAATAAACCACACTCACATTCTTTACACACACACGGTAATTATAACGGTAAATTCGCGGCCGTGCAATTTCCTTCTCACGCCACTGCTGTCAGAAGGGCCTTCACTGGAGGGTTTTTTGTTCCACTCGTGCACGCTGGCCAGGCGTCTCGGTGGGAGTCCTCACACTTTACACCCCACCATAGGGAATCTGCCGAGCGTCCAAGTACATCGCACCCATCACTGCTGCAGGATAGAAATTGAAGAAACTTGCCCATTGTTTCAACGACCGCACCGGGAGATTGAACCGTGACCTTTGACCCTCTGGATTGCAAGTCTGGTGTGCGAGCCGTTGCATCGCGGAGGCGTCGACGAACAAAACGGAGGCAATGCCCTTGACGCACGGCAGAGTCTCGCGCGCGCGTGCGTGGACGTGTAAAATCGCGCCGTGAACAAAAAGAAAACTATAAAAACAAATTCCAGGAATCACGGTGAAAAATCCCGGTCTCGCATGCGGCGCACACGTGCGAGGCACGACGGCGGCCCGCATCGCGTCTTTATTATTTTTGTTGTTGCATGCAACGAACGTTTCCGCGCAAATTAGTCCGCGGAACGAGGGATGGTGGGGGGTACGGCGTGG